AAAAAGTAGGACAAAATTGGCTATAAAAATACTGTGACATTTTTGACCAAATATTTGATTAAAAAAAACCTCTATGTATCTTATGATTGATCTAAGTCTTCTTCAGCACACCACATACCTTTCTATTTGTGATTTGCACTGTTACTGCTTTTCAGGTTGCTCAAAGTAGGTTTCCCTTTAATATCTGTAAACCTATCACAGAAAGAAATTCTCTCTGGCTTCAGCCTCAAGGCAGTGATTTGTGCACTGATAGGTGTACTTTGTTTAGTGTCACCCACGGTGTAGATTGGATAGATTTTGTAAAAGATAGCATTACTTTAAAAGAAACATACAATTTGACAAGCGATTGCATTTTACTTTCATTTTATTGCCATATTTTTCATCACACTCATTGTTTTCTAACTGTCACTAAATTGTTCATTTTCTTAGTCTGTTACATTGGTAGAGCTATTTACTGTTTATAAAGCAATATGCACTCACAGGTTTGGGAGATGGTTTGGGCTCTGAGGGTCGCATGTGCAAGTGGGTCATCATTGCTTGAAGACGTTCGCGTTCTTTAGAAAGCTGTTAAGAAAGAGTGAGATCAGAAGCATTTTAGAAATGACTGATACAGCTATTTTACTGCAGTGATTCATCTTATCATTGAGCTTGTCTCAGAGTAATGATTCCTGCATATAAAAGTCTGTGTCAGTAGGAACTTATCTGGGAGGAAATGCAACTTTAGCTGTGGAGGGGGGGAAAAACTTTTATAGCTTTCCTTATGTTAAAAGGTCAGAGAAAACAAATAACACTTCATCTTTTTGTCAATAAGAGAATTGAGGTCACAGTTGCCTCGACAGTAACAAGTTACTGAAACCATAAATTAGAAGGCCCATGGTGTCTCTTTAAAGTCCTGTGGACACTGTTAGCAATGGACTGGTGCCAACAGCTGTGAAGGGGTGAAGGGTTCTCAAAGCGAAGTGCCTGCCAGGATTGTCTACACACTTCATGCATTCCCACTGAGGTCCAGTTAGTGCCCCCTGCAATCTGCCATCATCAATCTAATTCAATAGAGTGACAGAGACCAGGCAGTGTGAAACGCTGAACTCTGCCACAGAGTCGGCATCTACACTTGCGCTGGGTCTCATTACAACTGACGGACCTTACTTTTCCATCAGTCAGACACAGCAAAAAAAAAAAAAAAAGGCATAATTGGTCACACTGCAGACTGTATCATCAGCTGAACTCTTATGTTTTAGTCTATCTTTCATAAATGGTAAACATGTTTACAAAAAGCTTTTAAACTACTACAGCGACGATGCTTTTTATATGTTCTTGATTATTTTACAAGTCAAAATACAATATTGTTAGTAGCTGTCTGAAAAAAAGCAATGACATGATGAATTCAAAACAATTTAACAAGTAGTAAAATATAAAAAAAAGAAATCGTATCTTTAATTAAATGAAACAAAGTACTAGTTTAATTGAGAAAAGACAATCTTTCAGATGAGATATTAGAGGAAGCCTTAAAAGGTTAGTAAAACTATAACAAGAGTCAGACTTCAGGTAATAAAATAGCTTTCTAATCAGTTTTATGAAATCTATTTATTTTTGGCCAAATTCTGTTTCAACTTTAACATAACTGTTTTTTTAAAACTTAAAACAGCAGCATTTGATACAACACATATGTTACTACCTGTGATATAAATTATTTGCTATTACTCTAGTTAAAGACAAGTATTAAGAATTTTTGCAAGTTCTTTAATTAAAAATACACTAGAACCAGAAAAGAAAAAGTTATTTTTCAGGGTGTTATATTATAGACATGATATTGTAAAGGTTGGCCTATTGCTATAATATAAAATCCCATGGAAAAAATCAAAATTAGCTCATGTAAAAACTGCCTCTGCAATAAAATCATATCCAGTTGGGAGTCTGTTCTAACCTACATTGGGAAAAACTTAAATTTGAGAGTTTGGGGATATCTGAATGTATATGATGTAGTCTAAAGGTTATATAAGTTTAAGTGATAAGAACATTAACCTATAGCAATCCATCCTGAATTATCAATCATTGCCACTGTTAACAACAATCTAAATTCTATGTATCTCTATTAATCATTGTGTTACTGAGACAGTAAGATGTAGCTTAAAAGATCTAGAATCTGCTCACTACTCAATTACCGCATCAGAAATCTGAGAAGAGTCCATTTGACAAACCTGTATTTCTAACTGTTGCACCACCTGCATCTGCACTCGACACTGGGCAGTGCTTCGGTCATCCAATGCATGTTCGTTGTTAAGGTGCCTAAACAAACGCACACACAAAAGGAATGTTAAGTAATGTCTATCTCAGTGGTACACATAAAAAGCACTACACTGAAGTCGTATGTTTCTCTGCAGTGGGAAAATAGAATGTCTCGAAACCAGGAAAAAGCTAAATGTTTACATCCATAGAAAAGTTAAATATGCTTATATATTTAGTGAAAAGTATTTATGTAATATAAAGAGACTCTTCAGAT